GTTTTTTCCTTGGTGGGAAGGAAGGGTATTTTGTATGCTACAGCTCTTCCTTGATGGGAGAAACATGTTCTGTTTCAGTAAAAGGGCAGTTCTCATTGTTAGATCTTGGCTGTTGTATTTAGCCTGGGCTCTGAGAGCTAGCATATTTTCCCACTAGACTTGGCATATGCATACTGCATTGCAGAACAATATGGTTGCTTTTATCCACTTAATACATTAGTACTATAAACTTGTGTGCCTCAGAGGACACTTCCATGATTCTACACGTGGCCATCTTATAATGCATGTGATGTCTGAAAGATTCCCTCTCCCACTACACCTGACAAGATGATGAAGATCTGGAAAACTACCAGTTAGCTGAATAGAATGTAACTGTGACCTTTATGCCCCTTCCCCCAGGGCTCTCAGGAAGAAAGATTGTAATGTAAAACAGCTGCTGAATACTCATAGATTTTGTGGCTGCAAGAGCTGTTTGTGGAGGTTGGCTTTGTGGGGGTCTTCTTCTTATTAAACTGAATTAAACCTTATGATTTATTGTTGGTATAATCCCCGCAGGGCTCCACATTTTTCTGTGCAGTAGTAACCAATGTGGCTGCATTTCTGGCTATTGCTATTATTGCTGTTTTGAGCTCTCTGCCGTTTGGTGCTGTTCTAACCTACTCTTAACATCTTTTCCAGCTGCTGCCATTGTTATTCCTTGCTTGTCAGCAGTAGTGTCAGGCTATGGTAAGTGGCTCTTTACTTGTTTGGAGGACAGCACTTGTCTGTACAAAGCTAACTTTAACTGCAACTATGCAAATACAAAACCCACTTCTGCTTAGCAAAGATTTGGTGCTACAGCAACAAACATTTACTGCTGGAATGTGGACTTTAACAGCTGACATGGGGTTACACTAGATGGATTTCCAGCATACTTAAGAGCCTCTCCTCCGCTTTGACAAAAATTAAAAATATAGTCAATTAAAAGTAAAAGCAGCACCTAATCCATCCCCAGGAGTAATACTGCTCTTATCTAATCAGAGACAAAGGCATGAATAGCAGTGACAAGGTTGCAAACTCCAAGGGGGGAAAAGCCTTTCTAGACACTGATGCTGTATGACAATTTAACTGCAGCTGGGGATCCAACAGTCTGGGTATCCCCATATACAGTAACAAAGAGGAGGGAAATAAACAGCCCATGGGCCGCCAGATGCTTCATTCACAGCGTGTCCATAGGCACGGCCGCTCTCAGCTCCTGTTGGCTGCAGTTCCCCTCCAAGAAGTGGCCCGTGGGAGATGTGGGAAGCACTGTGGGTCGGACCACCGCTTCCTGCAGCTCTTATTGGCCGGGAATGGCAAACTGCATCCTACGGGAGCTAGGAGTGGCTCTATCTGGGGACACACGGGTCACTTATCACCCACCCCTGCGTTACAAGACAGAGCAGCCCACGGGCCACTTATTGCCCACCTCTTCTGCAACTGGTGAGACCATCAAGTAAGGGGGGGGGACTCCATATCTTCTGGTTACTTGCATTAGCCCGCCAGTATTTGCCTTGGTTTTATCAGGCTTTACTGTCAGCTAATTATCTCCCATCCATGCCCCATTCCTTTTCAGGCATTGGTGCGGGTGTTTGACAGCACTGGTTTGGTTAGATGAGATAGAGACACAAACCTAGCTATAAAACAGCGTGCTGAAGGTACCTCTGCCAGGCCACCTTGTAGGCCCCAAGTATTCCTTGCATAGAGGGGACATTAGATGAATCACTGTAGAACTCCCCATGGAGGGCTCTTCAGTCAGGAAGAGAAACTGCCCAACCCTGGGAACTCTGGAAACAGCAAAGATGGAACAGAGTCACCTCCAAGCAAGTCTGCCCACTTCTGCCACAGGCAGATTGCAAACGCCTGGTGAGCAGCAGTGTTGGATCCAATGCTTACAGCGTCTTCAGCCACTGCAAGGAGATCGTCTACCAATGTCACTTGTGCAGTTTCTACTGTGTACCCAACTTGTACCCAAATTGAGAGGCTTACGGCCACGTTTCTCAAACTGTGGATCCAGACCCCTTAGGGGGTCGCGAGCAACTTAGAGGGGGGTCCCGGTATCAAAAAGTTTGAGAACCCCTGGGTTAAGGGTACCTGAGACATCTACGTTTCCTCATCATTTGTCCACCACCACCTTCTCTCTAAGCCTTAGCCAGAAGAGAAGATCAGAAAGGGGGCAAATGATAGTTGGTTTATTGAGCTAAAGCTGCACAGCAATCTGCTTAAGGAGAGAAGGTTGCTGATCTCTAGCATTGACCATCTCTGCCAATAGTGGAACTAGTTCTTTCTCACCGGTGTTATCAGCAAGGAGGAGGATGGAGCCAAAGCACTGGTTGTTATATATTACACTTGCACAAAATACACAAAGAAACCATAACTGCTATTCCCACCCCTACTTCCTGCCCTGAGCCCTCTCCTGCACCCTAACTCCCTCCAAGAATCTGCATCCCTACCTCCCGCACCCCAAATCTCTTGGCCTCAGCCTGGAGCCCCTTACTTTCCTCCAAAAAGCCTCATCTCCAGACCCACCCCAAACCCTGCACTCCCAGTCAGAGCCCCCACCACCTCCCACATCCACCCTCCTGCCTCAGGCCCATGAACCCTTCCTGCACTGCGAACCCCTCATTTTGGCCCCATCCTAGAGCCTAATGGGCTCCCAGAAGAGTTAATTTGGCCCTGGGACCAGTACATTCAGAAGACAGGGTTTTAAGAAAGAAAGATTAATGATACATGCACATTTCAATATGTAGATACACAGATACGAGTACACACAGCATTAAGTCATTATAATAAGAAACAGAATTTTCTGTCTTAATGTTACAAAGAAGATGTAAAAAATCATTGAACAAGGAGCATGTGAAACTCTCCTGCAGTCCAGCGAAGAGAAGTATTAGCTTCTGTTGGATTCTCTGTGCAGCAGCATATTATGTGTTTTTGGCATGGAGCTGCAGTATGTGAAAGCTGATGAACAAGCACTCGCAGCGAGGGCCATTAATTACATTTTCCCAATGAAGAAATCCTGTTCAGCAGCCAGAATCACCTCTCTAGTGGAGAGGAAAACTACTAAGGAGGAAGAATGTTTGGTGGACAGGGATGGAGTGGGCTGTGTGGGGTAAAAAACACAAATCTGATATGCACAAAAAACAGGATACAAGAGGAGGGAGTAGGTCTTGTTAAAAGAACTAACTGATGCTGCACTCTTCCTTGCACAGGCTCAGCCAGCCAGAAGGGAACAGTAATGGGAATTCTGAGGAGCCTGGGGGCCCTAGCAAGAGCCCTGGGACCAATCTTGTCAGCAGCAGGTAAGCATGGACACGCTCCTGCATCACCCTGACAATATAAAATGTAATTCTCTGGCTCTTCCAGCTTGGCAGCCATGGGAGAAAAAGGGCAATGGGAATGTAGAGATGACTGAAGAGTAAATGTCTTTGCTGAACATCCCTAACTTTTAAGGGAAAGGCCAACTTGTGTCCTTATGGAAGTCTCCCATTGATTTCAACAGGAATTGCTCATGGAGCAAGCTACTCACGACAGGAAGGGATAATGTGATATAGTTTGATTTTATGTCGCTCCTGAAATATGTACCACTTTCCCCTGACCTAGCTCTGGGAATATCTCAGAAAGCATGTGGTTCAGGGTTTGACATGGAGTGGCTACCCTTACGCAGCAGCAGTTTAAAATACTGTGTAAAGGTGCAAAACTGGAGCTTTCTCCCTCTGTGAAAGAAGCATCCTTGTTACCCAAGAAGATAAGCCTATGGTGTCAGCAAAGACTTGGAGGAGTGGTGTACAAATGCCTGTTTGCAGTGCAGCAGGGCTTACAGGACACAATTGCGACTGTAACCTGGTTGTGCTAGGCGCTGTATGGATGGAGTGAGCCTGCCTATGCCTGGAGGCATTCACCATCTCAATAGACAAGGCAGACAGCAGGTAGGAGAGAAAAGAAGGCTCAGAGAGAGGTGAAGTATCTTGCCCAAGGTCACACTGCTGGTCAGCATCACAGCCAGAAATAGAATGAAAGTTTCCTGCCAGGACAAGTGGAAACAGTGCCCTAAAGATACGGTGGCACGTGCTTGTGCAGATGCAGAATGTGTCCCTTTGCCATGGACTAACCGTGAATATCTGCATTGCAAGAAAACAATACTTTTACGTCCTGAATAGCATACGTGCTGCCCTTCCACTGAGTGGTTGAGGCTCCCACTGTTCCACCAAGACGCACAAATTCTGTGCTGAGGAGGCCATGTGTACTTGGAGGAGGAGAGCTAGGTTGGGAAATGGCCAAGAGGAGTTGAAGAAGGTAGAGAGTTACAGTATCAGGGCGTGGTGTGAACATTGGCCATATTGAGTGAAAGATGGTAAAGCAAATGGGCAAAAGTAATGACTTTTGCCTCTTTGCTTTTAGCTCATTCACTGAGATACCAGGTGGAAGATGGTTAATCAAAGGGACGGAGGCAGGATTCTCTAATTCCAGTTCTTCCCTTCACAGTGAGAAAGGGGGGGGGGGGGGGGGGGGGGGGGAGGAGAGAGGTACGAGTAGTCAATTAGATTAACCAATAAGCCTAGGCTTATAGGTTAATTGACCAGTCGATTACTCATTCACATCCCTAGTTTACACTAAGTGACTGTATATTAAAACAAAACACTGCAAAGAGCCTTTCCTCACACACACACACACACACACACACACCCATAATCTTGTCACAAACTTAACTTCCAAAATAGCATAGCAAATGGTGCAAAACTCTCTCTCTCAATCGATCACATTTCATACTCTCTTTTTTCTAAAAAAATCAACAGGGATAATGGTAAAGGACAGTATCAAAAATTAATACAGCATGCTGACCTCATAAAGTGTTTAACTGCCATTATGTAAATGTGTTATAATTTTGATTTAATAATGTAATTTTAAGTCTATCATTAATTAATAGTGGTAATATTGACAGTAATTATATCAATCTATATGTAATTATTTGAAAGTTTTCTATGTGACTGATGAAGTTATAGCAGATATTTTTGTTTAAATTGCCAAGAAAAACCAAACATGGATTTTGAAAAGACATTTAACAATATTATTCCTAACTGGAAAACAGGCATTGGCTCAAGAAATAATATAGCTCAACTACTTGGTAACAGCAACCATAATGTAATTATATTTAATGACTATAGGGTGAAATACTACAATAGCATTTAACTTCAAAAAGGAGAACGACACAAAAATGAGGAAGCTAGTTAAAAATAAATTGAAAGCAACAAGTACAAATGTGAAATGCCTGCAAGCTGAATGGAAACTATTTAAAAACCACCATATTATAGACTCAAACTAAATGTATACCCCAAATAAAAAACAAATAGGAAGACCTCTTTTAGTGCAGCCATTTTCTGTGCATTTAAACACTGGGGCACTGGGCTGGACTGGGAGCACACAGCCCCACATGGCAAGCCTGGCACCAGAGAGCCACTTGCTCTCTGCAGACAAGCTGCTGAGGCAGAGCCGGGCAGTGGGAGTGGGCACTTCAAAGGTAGGGTTACCATACGTCTGGTGCCTGACTCTGGGGGAGAGAAGGGGCACTGGGTTAGAGTGGGGGGACTGGGGTGCCTGGCTTTGTGGGAGGGGAGGTCATTGGGTTAGATTGGGAGGGCTGGAGGTACTTAATGTTTTTTTTGAAAAAGGGGCTACTTTAAAAAAAAAACCTCTCTCTTTCTCTCAGTAGCGGCAAGGCTCAGAGCCCAGCTCAGCTGGGCTGAAGTGCAGACACCTGGGTGGAGCCTGGGTGCTGAGGCCCAATAAGGGGAGAGGGTCGTTAGGTTACCATATTTCAGGTTCTCCAAAAGAAGACACTGCCTGAGGGTATCTGTTTGTACTGGAGGATGGGGAGGAAGTGCTATCTACAGCCTCACTTTCATGATGGAGGGCAGTCACTCCCTGTCATGGTGCAAGGGTGGCTGACATGGGCCCAGGATGTAGTGCCTCTCTTCAGAACTCTCCTTCTCCCCAGGGCTGGGAGGAATCAGGTTACCATTCCGTTGTGGCTGTAGGGAAGGGACCCATCAGAGCATGGAGACAGCTCTGAGCTGCAATGTCTGCTTGCAAAGATCCCAGCCCGTGTGTCTTATTTGAAAAATCCCCCAGACAGAGGATCAAAAAACCTAGGTCTGAGAAACCTAGACATATGGTAACCTGAGTCACAGAGCTCTGGCTCTTGCTGGAACAAGACTGTCAACACTGCTGCTCCTCGCCCCATCATGTGAGTCTGAGTAAGTTGAGCAGGGATTTCAGATTTGCTGCTATGGAGTTTTTGTTTTGTTGCTTGCTGCTGCTGCAGTATCAATGCATGGGGAGGTCTGACAGGGCCAGACGCAGCACCGGTGCTTTGGCTCTAAGCCTGGCTCCAACTGATTCCTCCCATCCAGTGTTTAAAGGCGCAGAACTTTTTTGCTCTAAAGCTTGACCTGAAGCCCGTTACTGTGTGGCAGAACTGAACCCTGCACTATAGTAATCCTGTCACAATACACCATGGACTAAGTCCTGGACTCATAAAAAGACTTGGGCACTTAAGTTTGAATCCCAGTTTTAGGCTCCCCAGTGATTCACAAAACTGTGACTTCACCCTCTCGATACCTAAGTTTGTGCAGTAAAAGTTCCCTTGGTGCTTGTGTTTCTGCTGTTGCCCCTGCACATTGCTGCTTCCCTCTAGCGGTACGTCTAGACTGGTGGTATCATGGAAAAACTCCACCGCGTCCAGGGAACGCGTTTGCTCTTCTGCTTTTTTTTTTTCTTTCGGTGGAAGAGCAAATGTGCTCTTTCAGGGAGCCCTGTATACCTTGTCTAGATGGGCCCAAATGGCCACTCAGCACTTCCTACTGGCTACCTGAGGCAGCCTGTTCCCTGACATGCTGGCCCTTGAGACACACAGGCCATAATGCCAGTCTCTCCTCACTCATTGTACAGGACACCTAAGGGCCTAGCTCAGCTTTGTGGATTGTCAGATTGTTCTTGTGACTTTCTACCTGACTCAAAGTTAGGCCTTGTGACATTTAATATACACCTGCCATGAGTGCAGAGGCCTGGACTAGAACCTCTCAAGGGCTAAAGGATTATGGCATGGAAAAGCAGGGAGGCTTTTGGAAAGGGAATAGAAGCAAGGGCATAGATATTGCTTACTGTAATTGGGCTGGTGCCTAACTTAGAGAACATATTGTGCTTGTAGAGCAACTTGGTTGACAGCAGCACTTAGCAAGTAGCAAACAAGCTAATTATTTGAAAGGTAGAGCTCCAAATTTCTAAAATGCCTCAACTGCTTGCTTACTTTCCTTTTCTTCCACAGAGAAACATTTCATCATTATCTGTCAAAGCCCAAAGGAAAGGGTGGAGATTTGACGTTGGCAAGGAGAGCGGTGCTGGGCTCAGCCTTGTGCAGTTTTCACCCCTCCTCTTCCCCCAGCCCCTCCTGCCATATTCAGGGGTTTTCCTTGTGAGGGACGGGGACCTTGCAGGAGTAGGGAGAAGGCCATCTGTCAGTTCTGGCTAGATCCAGATTTAATATTTACTTGATCTCAGCTTGAAACTTAGGCTGTATTTTAAAAGTTTAAAGTGGAGGCAATTCAAGGTCACTTTGAGGGTCAGTTGCTGTGGACAGAAAGCAGGACGAAGTGATGGAGGCAGGCACAAAGATGGAGCGTGTTGGTGATTGGGAAAAAGCAAGTTTAGGACTAGATACTTGTGAGGAAGATGTGGAGAGCAGCAGCTTGCACGTATGGATCTAGCTTCTCTTCCTGGGGCCCCTTATGCCTGCTGTTGCTGCCTTTCATGATTGATGTCATCCTGCACTCCTCTCATGCTCTTGCTGATATTTCTTCTGGCTCTGAGCTGCTGGCTGCCTTCCAGACCCAAGTTCCTGCTAAGTGCAGCAAGAGTTGAGGCAGCTCTGACTGGAATTAAACCATTTTGCAACTGAGTTAACTAACTGGCTTCCAGTGAAAGCTAAACCAGGCAAAATAAGGGACAGTGGGTAGGGTATCAGCAGAATAGTTGTGTGTGGCTGCAAAAAGAATTTACCTAATTTTAAAACTTACCTTTTGAAAAGCATTGTCTAGATGGAGTAAGTCAGTGGTCTCCAACCTTTTTAACCACAGAATCACTTTTCAATGTAAGTGCAATGTAAGATCTACCTCAAACCCAAATACCCTTGCCCCACTTCCTTCCTGCCCCTTCTTTGAGGCTCTGCTCCTGCTCCACCCCTTCTGAGGCCTCACCCTGCTCACTCCATTCTCTTTCCTCCCCCATCCTCACTCACTTTCACCAGGCTGGGGTAGGAAGTTGGGGAGCAGGCTCTCTTCTTGGGCTAAGCAGTATGGAAGTGGCTCTGGGCTTAGCCAAGGGTGGGGGATTAGGGTCCAGGAGAGGTTTCAGGGTACAAGCTCTAAGAAGGAGTTTGGATTCAGGGGGACTCACATCTGGGGCAGGAGGTTCAGGGCTGGGACAGGAGTTCAGGAAGCAGGCTCTGGCAGGGCACCATTTAACTGAGACAGCTTCGGGGTGGGGGAGGTGGAGCAGTGGCCCTACACTACTCCTGAAAGCAGTTGGCATGTGCAGCAGTTGGCGCTATGTGTGGCCCCTCATCTACAGGCACTGAGCCCACAGCTTCAAGAAGTGGCAATTACCATAGCCATAATTACTCCAGCGATGATAGGTTAGGCATTTTAGAACTCATTAAATTTAAGCATAAGAGAGAAATTAAGATTGACATGTGCAGACCAGTCAAAACTCCAAAATAACACACTTTGCAAGCAGTAAAAGTAGTACCAACAACAACCCTCCCACATATGTGTTGGAGCAGGAGATGAGAGTGAAGGACAGTGTGGCTACGTTAACACTGGCGGCTTCTTGCACAAGAACAGCTGTTCTTGTGCAAAAACTTGCCAGGTGTCTACACTGCACGTGCGTTCTTGCGCAAGTAAATGTATTGTCTAGTGTTGGAAAACAGGGCTTCTTCCAGAAGAGTTATTCCTCTCCCACGAGAAATAAGCCCTCTTATGCAACAGCTCTTGCGCAAGAGGGCAGTGTAGACAGACAACATGAATTTCTTGCGCAAGAACCCCTATGGCTAAAATGGCCTTCAGAGCTTTCTTGCACAACAGAGCATCCACACTGCCATAGATGCTTTACCACAAAAGCACATCTCTTGTGCAAAAGCATATGCCAGCATAGACGTGTTCTTGAGGAAGACTTTTTGCATAAGAACTCTTGCGCAAAATAGTTCCCGCACAAGAAGCTGCCAGCGTAGACATAGCCTGTGGGTTTGTGAGAATGACAGACGCATACACAGTGTGTCAGAGTGACAGGTTTGCATTGCCAAGCTCCCTCCATCCCCTTCTCTCTGTGTAGAGATAGGGTACAACAGTGGGTGCCTGCCTTCCCTCCCAAACCGTACACGCAGGAGGCTCCCAGGGGGCAGCTCCAGGGCAGGAGCAGCATGACAGTGGGTGGAGGGACAACTGAAGTACCAGTGCTTGATAGCTTCCTAGCCAAACCAGTCAGGATCACCTGTCAGAGGCTCCAAAATCTACTGGTAGTTCCTGATCTACTGGTTGGTGACCACTGGTATAATTAATTACTTAAGTACAGCCACATGGGGTCAGACTAATGGTTCATCTAGTTCAATAGCCTGTCTTCTGACAGTGGCCACTACTGGAGTGTACAGAACAGGGCAGCTGGAGTGAGCCATGTCTTTTCCTCCAGATTTCGGCCAGTGAGAGATTTAGGGTTGCCCCAAGAATGGGGATGCATCTCTGATTATCCTTTGCATTGATGACCCCATCATCCATAAACTTACTGGCTGCGTCTAGACTGGCAAGTTTTTCCGCAAAAGCAGGCACTTTTGCGGAAAAACTTGCCAGCTGTCTACACTGACCAGTTGAATTTGTGCAAGAACACTGACGATCTAATGTAAAATTGTCAGTGTTCTTGCGCAACTACTATGCTGCTCCCGTTTGGGAAAAAGCCCTCTTGCGCAAATGTAGTTGCGCAAGAGGGCCAGTGTAGACAGCTAAAAACTGTTTTGTGCAAAAAAACCCTGATGGCGAAAATGTTCTTTTGCGCAAAAGCATCCGTGCCAATCTAGATGCTCTTTTCCGCAAATGCTTTTAACTGAAAAACTTTTCCGTTAAAAGCATTTGTGGAAATCATGCCAGTTTAGATGCAGCCACTGAGTTCTGTTTTGAACCAGGTTGACTTTTGGCCATCACAGCATCCCATAGTAATGAATTCCACAGGTTAATTTAATCATAAGGGGACTACTATCAACCAGTGTATTAGCCAAAGGTTATTTGCAGCCACACTTTGTTCATGGGTAAAGATTCATATGTGCAAATCTAACTAGGTGCACCTCTCATCATGTACAACATGCAACTACTCAAATTTGTACCAAGGCTGAACAGGAAGTCATTTTGAAAATCTTTTTAACATGTACAAGGAAGATAGCACCCAAGAACTAAAAGACTTATTTCTTTTGCAGTTTACTGGCTGGCAGGAGCTGAGATTTGCTTCACTGTTTGTGCAGTTCTCTTCCTGCTTCCCCTCATTCTTCTTGGTTACATAAAGCAGCATACAAAGGAGGAATAACCAAAGAAAGGCGCAACATCATGGCTTACATTCTCTAAGGGGACGTCAAAAGAAGTGGAGAGTCAGTTGGCAAGAAGTGATTTAAAATGGAACAACATTCTGTTTTGATTTGCTGGAAGGCCAAATTGAATTCCATTCTGCAATACCCACCATGATCACAAAATTATTTCTTATTCACACGTTGTAATCCTCAAGGAGATGGAAACTCAGCTAACATTAATTCTCTCATGCCAGTTTGTCTCTTTCAGCATGTTGTATCTCTGCTACATAAAATGGTGAGATCATGCCAGCTGCACAGGCAGAGAAAGGTTGAATTCAGCAAGATAAGAATCACTCCATAGCAGAAGTTTGTGCTTAAATTACAGTTCCCAACCAGATGTGGCATGTAAAATGCCATGATTTCTCACAATATCATGTGCACATTATTATTACTTTTACAGATCCTGCCTTTGCCCATTTCATTTTAAGCACTGGCTGCTCATTCTGCTGCTCTGAGCAAATATGGATTAGCGTTTTCAGGCAGCCAGCCTAAGACCCTGCAATTGGTTCATGAGAAGAAAATGCAACACCTGCCCCATTTTGTGAGGGTCATATTGAAATTATTTTGCCAGTTTCCTTGCATAAGACCTCCTTCCGCTGGTAAAATCTGTACCTCGTGCCTTAAACTGGGTGGGTTTTGGGTTTTTTTGGTTGGTAGCCAGAGTTTTTATGATTTGTGAGAGCTTTATAGCAATCTTGAAACTATTCCCACAGTACTGCCAAGTGGTTATAAATGAATAGGTGGTACAACTTACACACAATATCATTGGAAAAATGTTTTAGCTACATTTTATATGCCTAATATATCAGGTTTTTCCAATACTGAGCATTTTCCAATATTTGTATTTTGCACTACAAACAGTTCATTGCAAACTCATCTACTGCAGTTACAGTGTGGGTAGGAAGATGCACAGTAATAACATGCATCTTTTTAGAGTGTCCTTTTGTTCATCAGTCATTAGGCTATATAAAGCTCTGTCCAACAGCACTTCTGCTTAGGGCTGCATGGGATGGGGAGGATGTCTTCTTGTGTTCAGCTTCATGTTAATAAAAGAAGATAGCCCTAGTCCATGGGTGGTCAACCCATTCTAGGCAAAGAGCCAAGATAACAGTGGAGCCAGCACAAAGAGCTGGGAAAACATTGTCAAGCAAAAAACCAAAAACCAAACAGCTCTAAAAAATGCTCTGCCCCTTTAAGAACTGCATTTAAACACATTTTGAAGCTTTTTGGCCACAGCTGGCTCCCATCTTTATTTCTGCAGCTTTCATGGCTGCACTGTACAGCTCCCCTGCCCAAGTCAGCACAGGGAGCTGGGACAAGAGGACCGGGTGTGTCTTTGCAAGCCGCTCCCGGGGATGGGGGGAGGAAGAAGAGCTGCATGCAGCTTGTGAGCCTCAGGTTGGCCACAGCTGCCCTAGTCCCTTCAAGGCCTGTCTTTCTCCTTAACTCACAGGTCCTGGCCTTGCTCTTCGATGACCCCAAAAGGTTTAATATGGATGTTTCTCCTTTGCAAAATTATACTCTTTGACCATCATGGTAAAGAAGCTAAGTAGCTGACAGTGCTAACCATGCTTTGTCCTAGTCTCCATGCCATCCATGAGATGGTCAGCAGCATGTTTCTTTATTTGAAAAATCAAGTTACAACTTCACAATGTAGACTAGCTCCATTTAATTAGGAACCTTATCAGAAGTTCAGAATGTTTGTTTTCCTTCTTCATTCCTCCAGGTGATCTCAATCACTGCAAGCAGAGCAATTCACTAATAGGTTTTTGTCATCTCCTGGTTGTCTTGCCTTTCACATTTTTTTTTACACTGCTACAGAGATGGGATGAATTATAGAAGTGAGCCAGTGAATCACTGTCCAAATACGACGACTTCAGAGGTGGTTTTGTAATCCTAGTACCTTATCAACTATCTTTGTTTTTGTTTGAACCCTGGATATACAGTAAGACCAGCTGTGATCTTAAAATGTTGCAGGCAGTGACATTTCCCTGTGTCTGAGGTATGTGCGGTTTTCTGGGCTCATCTATGACTGAGAAGTCCAGAGTTTAAATCGGACACAAAAGCTCACTCCAGAAGGATATTGAAAATAGGCATAGAGAGGCAGAGGCACGTGGGTGTACTTATTTGTACCTTATAGGTTTGGGACTATTAGACCCTTGCTCCTCCCCACCCTCCAACTAATTTGCTCATCCTCATAACCAACTCATTGGCAGAGCAGGATTGCTTCTAGCAGGGGAGTAAGGATCAAATTCCTTATTAGTGGAGTAGTTTCTGCTCCCTCTTACACAGCACTGTTTGTCTTCCAGGCTTTAACACAAATACAGGCAGTCCCCGACTTGGGGACACCTGGAACAGAGCAGCTGGGGTGCTGCCGGGTTGGTCCCCACAGCGCCGAGGTGCGGCACTGCGGGGACCTATCTGGCAGCGCCCCAGCTGCTCTGTTCCAGGCATCCAGATTCAGCTGCTGTTGAAACTGATCAGCAGCTGATTCCAGAAACCCTGGGGCAGAGAAACTCTGCCTAGGGCTTCCTGTAGTCAGCCGCTGGTCAGCTTCAGGAGCAGCAGAACAACTTAAAAACAAACCTACAGTCCCTATCTTGTACGTAACCCAGGGACTGCCTGTAATTGAAAAAACATTGATAGACAGCTGATCTCCCTGTAATAATACTTTTTTTCAGTCTGAAGGACTCTGAAACACTCCAGACTACATCTAGAAGGACTCCATCCCTTAAATATAGGCACCAGGGAGAAGATTCTAATTCCTTAACACTATACAACCATGTGAAGACTAACTTACCCAAAATCTCATTTGGGTCCGCCAGTGGTAGCAAGGGAAAATGTAAATTGGCTAACACGGAAGAACTAACAGCCCTACTCTTCTAAGCAGTCTTCACAGGAATTTTGCTTATCACAAGGTTTGAAGGCCAGTCTGCTCAGTATTCCTTTAATAAAAGTCTATTCAGAAACACTGACCCATATCAGAGCATTGGCTAAATCCAGTTTCAGAGGGATGAGTGCCACCATACTACTTCCTAAAATATCTGAGGCCAGGTCTACACTAGAACTGCAAGGTCAGGCTAAAGGTATGCAACTCCAGCTCTGTAAAACACACAGCTGGATTCAGCTTACCTTAAACTAAGCTTGGTGCCATCTTCACAGAGAGAAGCTAATAGCAAATGCTCCTGTCTGCTTCCCTTATTTCTCATGACTGATAAGTACAGGAGCCAACCTGAACTGTCCTTAGTATTTGATTTAGCAGGCTTTAATTAGACTTGCTAAGTTGATGCCAGAAGGTTGTTCTCTGGTGTGGTAAGTATAGATAGAGCCTGTGTGTTCAACTGCTTAGCTTGACTTCTGACAAGATCATAACCTGAGGTTGTGCTATTGCAGACAAAACTTTGAGTGAACCTGTGACTAAAATAATAAAATGTGAACCCAAACCAGTGTAATCACTCCTTGGAGAATGCTGCACCACTGCGCAATGCAGAATTTTCAGAAATGGGCTGCAATGTTGCTGGACCCCGCAGAGCCGCACAAAGAAGACACTGTCAGGGGGGAGGGGAAGAGAGCTAGAGAGTTCGTGGCAGCTGCAGTTCCAGGCATGATCCTCAGCGAAGGAGATGGTGACATGCAGGAAACTCCATACAAGCCTGGGACCAAGCATCAGGCTGTTTCTCTTGCTGGATCCCTGGACAAAGGGGTCCACAGCTAGGCTCTTGGGGGAATTGGCAAGTGGGGTCCTGCAACTGAGGACTCTTGGGAGAAGGTACGATGTATTTGGACCTCTGGCTGGACTCTGGGGAGGATGGAAGGAGAGAGAAGGGGGCAGAAAAACAGGAACTGGTTTGTCATAGGAGTTCCTTTAACTCTGTACTCCTGGGGGAATTTCTGTATTTACTGTATCTATATTGTTACAGATATGCTGACAGGTACTTTGAAATAAATTACCAACATAATTTAAACAGGCGTGTTTATAATGTGTTATTTTGACAATATTTTAGATGCCTATTATATACTCGTGAGGGTTTTTTATGCCAAAAAAAATTGAGACAGACCTCAAACACATTTGTACCTGCTCAAGGAAATAATTTGGGTTTTGGTAGGTTTTACACTCATATATAATACAGGAAACAAAAGTAAGCTAGAGACTTTATATATAAAATTTAGGACTCACTTTTATTAAATGTCTCAAATTTGAACATGTCTATCATTTCCTATTATGCAGGTTTTAATCCATCACTTAAAAAAAACACAGCCCTGGAAAAAGATTTCTGCAACTTCCTGGTTGTGGCAAACTTTTACTTTGTATTCTTAGAGTGTTAGTTAAAAATAGAATTAGTGACTAATATTCCAGGTATGTCCTAAAAAAATTATTGATAAAGGCAGAGTATTTCCCTGCCTTGTGGAAAAAATGTAAATTCTAAAAGACACGAGAATATGTTGCTTGTGAATTCACTCAAAAAGCAGAGAATGTAAATTTACCAGAGTGAAAAGCAGCTATGTCCTCCCCATAGTATTTCAGCAAACTATGGCATTTGTTCAGAGATTTCAAACCTCTAAACTACTGCACACAGACTGAGGGTGAAATTAATAGGCAAGACTTCAAATGAGAACTCTTTCACCTGAGCTCATATTCCACCCAAGCGTTGTCACTTTCTGGACAGCAGTTTAATGAATAAGATTAATCTAGTAGGTTGTTTCCAGTAGGCAGAATTATACTAACCTGGAAGTGACTAGGGATCCTACAGTTGCTCTCTCAGGCTACGTCTAGACTGCAAGTCTCTTTCGAAAAAGAGTGTCTAGACTACAACCAGTACTTTCGAAAAAGCAAGCCACTTTTTCGAAAGAGCATCCAGGCAGTCTTTTGAGAAAGCACAGTTTGCATTACATAGTGCCTTTTTTCAAAAGAGCAATTTCAAAAAAAAGGTATTCTTCCTCGTAAAACGAGGTTTTCTGCAGTTTAAAAAAATGCCGCATTCTTTTGAAAGAATGCAGCAGCAGTCTAGATGCAGGGGAAGTTTTTTAGAAAAAAGACCACTTTTTTCGAAAAAACCTTGTGTCTAGACAAACCCTCTGATACAGCTAATTCTCCAGAAGGACAACGACTGCAATATGAAGGAGGCTTTTGTATTCTGTCTACATGTTCCCTCAAAGTTCTGACATGCACATCTCCCTCCGCCACTTATTACATGCCCCATTCAAGGTCTCCAGCCATAACATCAGAAATCAGTATCTGGTATGGAACTTTAACAGCAACCAATTTACTATAAGCAAAATACAGTAGACTTCCGATAATCCAGAACCTTTGGGACATAGGTGGTGCCGACACACACACACACATACACACACACACACCACACACACAAAGTATTTTTACCCTTTTTATTGTAGCACAAGCACCATCCAGCGTGTCACAATGCCAGTGGCAGACTAAACTTGGTCCCGACTGGTTTCGCTCGGTCCAGCTGCTGTCTTGTGACTCGTTTTTTGCCGAAGCTCATTCACTAGGCTCGTGCCATTTTGATGCTGATCTATCGCGAGTGCCGTACAATTGGATGCCAGACTATTGAAGTTTTACTGTACTAGATACTTTGCTCAAGAAAATAGTTTTAGCCATTCAAGTAAAATGGTTAGAGCACTATTCCCAAAGAGATTCTGGACATTAAAACTGTTCCCCAGCTTTCAAAAACGGAGGAAAAACCCTTACTCTTTTAAAGAAGAATTTTATTTGTGAGTAAAACTTAATGATACAAGAAAGAAAAAATACACGACTGTTCCCCCCAAGTGTGTAACCATACCGTACACAACCAGATTTCATAGTGTAATACAAAGAATTGAAAGAACAAACTACAAAATTAGAATCAAAATCATTGCATATGTGGTCAAAGATAAAAGGACTCCATTATTAACTGAAACATGTAGCAATGGCTTAGTAATGAAATTATGACCCTGGCAATAAAACACAATTTAGCAAAGTAAGATAAGTACTGTATGCTTCCTAGTATACAGAGGACACAGAAGGTTAGAATATAAGCTCAAAGCCATTAGCGCCATGCAGTCCTTATTAGACATTATTGTTTAGGTGTCACTCTTAAGCAGTGATTTGCTGTTGCTTCTAATTTCATTTTACTCTACCTATTCCAAAACAGATGTCTGATTTCTGTAATAATTGCCACTAAACCTCTTTGCCCCTCACCTGGACACCTTGCAGTGCTAATGTCATATCCTGTACATTTGTTTTCCTTTTATCACTTTAATTTGGTCCAAGTTATCAATATATCTGAGGCCTAATATAGGCTTTATTTTTGCACTATAAAGCTGAACTTGTTTACTACTCACAGCTTTCATACTGCACCAATTGCAAGGCATTCACAATCTGCTATTTTTCTCACTATAAAACAGGCGTTTTATATAACCCTATGTGATACATACATTATTGAATTTTATTTTAATTATAGTCATTGCATGTAAGCCAACTTTTTTCCCCCCCATGGAGGGTTTTTTCCCCTTGTTTTCTGCTGTTATAAATAAAAATGTGTAATTTGAACACTGACATTTGGAGGCAATTTGTTTATATCCAGGGTAAATTCATTATGGTTTCTGAAAAGTTCATGTGTACAACAAATGAAGATGTTTTGTCTTTCCAAAAGGTAACTTGAAGATTGATCTCTGAATGTGCTCAGTGACAGAGAATCATAGTTGTACGTAGAAGAGGATGGCAAATAAGAGGTGAAAGTGAGATTTTTCTCGCTTTGCTACATGCTAAATACTTATGGAAAACCTGTGGCAAATGAACCTCTAAGGACTCTAGGAAGGATATCTGTTCCTGATTTAACTACTGCTGGCAACATAAAACAAGAAACATGAGCTACTGTAAGTGAAAAGAAAAAAAAGGTAATATAAAAACACAGGTTAAGTGTTCATTGTATTGTGTTTACAATAGGGAAGGGAGTGAAAATGCAGCTTATATGCAACGTATTTGCATCTGCAACCAGCAAAGTTTTATCAAAACAATGACAACTGCACTAAAGACCAAATCTAAAACTGTCCATGCTCTAGGTCATCAATTAAAAGTGTCCCAAAAATCTAAAATACAATTGTTTTCAACCTGTACTTAAAGACCAAATTGCTATGCAACTGATGTCTGATGGTCTCTGATTTTGGTTAGGGAAGAGGGTCTGTAAAATAGATTTCACAATATTACATTTATTAGAAAAGTTAAGGTTCTTTGAATGCACAATATCATCAGGAAACACCATCACCCGTTCAGTTCTTTACACCACAAGGTTAAGTTTAAGTTCCAACTATATCATATCTTTTTAACAAACCCACTGTTCTCATAGGAGAGTATTATTCAAAGTTAGTAGCCCCTTGATGTGTCTCATATTCAGGTACCAGAATATGGGTGAAAGACAGCTTTTATCTTCTTATATGGGGAAGGAGGAGGTAGGGAGAAGATAGAGGGATATGGTATGAATAGTCTCAAAGCTTGACTAGAGTAGTGACATATTGTAGAAGCATACATCTCTGTTCAAGAATGTGCCCCCTCTCTAAAATGCATCCTCTCTAAAATGCATTATTTAAAAAAGAACCTCTTTGTGACAGGCAAGTATAACATTGGAAAAGAGCATGTTCTGGAGTGAGCAGCTACTGCACTGTGAACATGGCCTAATCAAAAATACTTGTGTTCTTACATAAAGCAGTGTGGTCTTTAAATTAAAAACAGTGGTTCAATGTCTTCCACATGGAAGCCATTTAACTTTGTTTATAAATTAAGCTTCAAATCTGTGGTTCACTGCTGAGTACACAGGTTTAGCACCTTTCTGCACGTTAATTTCCTGTTATAACCTTAAACAATGAAGTTATAACTTGAGGGGTTGGTTGCTTGATTTGTTGCATTCCTTTACATAATGAGACAAAATGCTCAGTACAATCTGGTACATTCTAGTGGTTAATGAATTTAGATTCTAAAATAGGACAGTGTTTCTGCAGTACATCAGGCCTTCAGGAGTCACTCTTCTTTTTGTTCTTCTTCAGGAAGGAAGGAGTGCGGAACTTCTTTTTCTTTTTGGATGGGGATTTTCCTGGAGATTCATCACTACCTGGATCAGCAGCTGTCCCCTCCTCAGCTGTTGGTGTTGTTGCCTCTTCAGCAGGTTGGGACCGGGGCTCTTGATTTTCTGTTTCAGGTAACTCAGTCTGGCTTTTGGTCAGATCTTCACTGCACCTACCTTCCTCTTCCTCCTCCTCCTTTCTGAAGGTTGGAAAGCTGAGTGCTTCTGAAGGCTCATCGGGGGTGAGGTCTGGGAGGGTTTGCTTGAAAGTTGCAGCATCACTGTCATCTTTGTAAGTCTGGTCCTGCAGTGTGTCTAATGGATGGATTGATATGAAATATTTAGTTCAAGTATGCTGGTCTCCAACACACATTAAGGTGAAGCTATCATTTAGTGAGTGCTGTGTGTGAAAGTCTAGCTCATTTAACTTACATAATGCTTTTGAAATCTATCTAGTCTACTTCACCTTTGGGCACAGAGATGTAAGTGGAACATTCAAAAGGTTATTTTCAATTTCCTGCCAGACAACAAATAAAGTTGAATCCAACTGTAATGTTCTAAAGTGCTAGGAGTAAATATCAAATATTTATAAATAAAATATAGTAATGTTGCTTCTTTTGCAAATGATTTGAGAATTTTTAGCACAGTGACCAGGGAACTAAATCTACAATTGCCATTGGCATTAATGAGATTGTCACTAGACTCCTAAATTTTAAATTATTTTAATTTATTGGGATGGAGCAAATTATACAAACATCAGATCCATGGCTTGATGTGTGAGAATCTTACTAATTCTTACTTTGCCCATCCTTATAAAAATCCTAGTATTTCCCTGGAGCTTCTCAGGGAAGATTTAAAAAGATGACTTTATAATGAAGTCTGCTATTGTAATGGTTTCATTATCTTGAAAAGATTTATTATTGTGTTATAAGGTCTTATAAATATAATCAATATACTCTGTCAAATTAACTAAGCATGTTTTGTGATGCAGCCTTTTCTATGACATGGGTTCACTTAGCGGGATTTCATCCCTGTGCGAAGCATCAGCCATTGCTTAAATGGTGCTAAAGTGATACTCAGGCCTTGCTATGGCCCTGATCACATTATTCACTAGTCTACAGTAGAACCTCCCTGTCTTCAGGGAGATTTAACGATACTCTACTTTTCAATATTACATACATTTCACTATGAAGCAATCCTGTCTGCACTGAGCACTTTTTTAGAACACAATGCACTTTATTCCTGCCTGTGTAAAAAGCACAAATTAATAAGAGTCCCATTACCTGTGTCAACTCCATCCAAGCTAGTAGAGCATAAAAAGGAAAGTGGGTGACAGCCAGGCCATAGGAGTTTGTGAGCTGCGAGAAAAACTGGGCTAATAATCCTCAATTTAAAAAATTCAAGATCTTCCACAGTCAAGAGGGAAACTGGGTGAGAGCACTAGGTTTTATGTTCAAGGCTTTGAGAGGTGACTATATCTATAGAATATGAGAATGTCTCTAATGAGAATGTGTCCTTTAATCTTGCAGGACTATACTGAAAATTCCTTATACTGTGTTTTAGAAGACATTATTCTGTGAATGTATGATAAATATTTGCTAGAATAGTGCTAATTTCTGCTGTTAAACCCACAATATCTACTTAATACTCAGTATCAAGCCAAATGCTCAGAATGGTAAAGTTAGAAGTTTAAAATTCTGTTATGATGCAGACAAGATTTGAAAGCCAGGAAAATGAGGAAGCCATCATGTATGTTATCAGTTGCCTCATGGAATGTTAATCTGATTAACTCTTTATGACCATTTTACAGCACTTCAATTATAGTATATCATATTGTCTTTTTATCATTACCAACTTTCTAGTCATGATTTTTATTTCTTCAGGAATTGAAGTGGAAGGCATTAAACTAATTTTTAGTGCATGTACCACATTTGATTTTCAGGTAGGCACGTTTTTGGTTCTTCTAAAGGAATAACCGTCAACCTTTCAATTTGTTCATTAAATGAAAGTATAGGAAGCTACCAGAATTTAAACAGGTTTTGCCACTATCAAGCATTACAGTTATAGAAAAATAATTTTAACTTGTCTTTCCAAGAGACTTATCCCACCCAGCCTCTGAAACAGTCCCTAAATTATTTAACAAGATGGAATCACTGTACACTAGAATGAAACATGGATTTCCTAATTTAGCTAAAGAATGGGCAAAGTTTTAAAATCAGAAATGTGTACAAGATCCGTTATTTTGCTCAGTGACTTTAATACATCAAGTGAAGTTTTCCAAATTACATCTTCCAGGAAAAAAAAAATATTTCAGCGACAACAGGACAATACTTTAAAATTTAAAAATATATTCTAGAAACAACAGCACGCACGCAAACACACACAACACATGCATACTGTGATGCATTACAACTTCTATCTGCAGTTTTGGCCCTAATGGAAACGTCGGGGTAAAGTAGATTTTTATACAAACAGATGCTATAGGGTTCCCACTATAGGAGTACGCTTTTCAAAATGGTATACTTTAAGTGTGGTTGTAGTCAGAAAACTGACTACATAAAAACGGCACCTGCTTCCAACAGATCTCCTGTCAGCCCCAACTCTCATTGCATTCAGTCATAGCTGCTTAAGATAGGGAAATTCACATATACATGAAGTTTACTTTCGTTAGCCCTGTAAAGCCAACATAGCTTAAAGAGAAAGCTCATTTATATCTAGCTTATTCAACACAATTTTAATTAAGTTCCAATCTTAGAATCTTACTAGTGGTATCAGAGCCACGCAGAACAAAGTTCAGATTTTCCTGTTACAAATCACTAGCCAGATACAGTCACCGAAAGACAGGACAAACATGGAATCTCATTAGGACACTTTCACAGTCTCTTTCAACAGTATAGCACATTTTAATGTAAAGTTTATGCAAGTGACCTAGAATTCCAAGAAAGTAATAATGGAAGGAATTAGTGTCTATCATTGACTGTAAAAATGCCTTTTTTTAAAAAAACACAAACAGAAAACAAAACTCAAACAACAGAGATGCAAGAGAATGAAGCAAAGCCCAGAGAACTTCAGAAAAGAAGCACAAACAGGTCAGAGTATGGGATGATACTTACTATGGTAACAGGTACTCTTTAGCATATCCATCTCCTGTTTAACGCAGCCACAAGAAGAAAAAAGCACAAGTAGAGAATCTATGCATTCATCACAGCCATTGTGTTAAATTAAAAGAATGATTGGAAACATTCTTACAGAAAACAGAATGAGATGAAGTAGTGCATGGCAGACTTCATAATAGACAAGTGATATATTCCAATGAACAAGGTAAAGGAAACATAAAACAGAAATTAGATTACACCTGTTTAACAGACTGTTACTTTTATCTTATTTTTTCCATGGGATAACAGAAACAGAAGTGCTAGGCCCTTTTCTTATTTTTTTCTGATAATTTTACATCGTGTTAACAAATCAAACTAAGAGCTAAACTGGGACAGAAAAATATTCTCATAGGTGTAATCCAAATACAATAATGTTTAAGAAATGTGCAACCAGTGAGCAGGATTTACTAAACTATCTAATCACGTTCAGCAAAACTCTGCTTCATCATTAGACTTAACGTGTCACTTCAAAACAGCAGCCACATCTTACTCAGAGTGCTCAAAGGAGCAAATCTGTTCCAAGACTTAACAAGATGACTAGGCAATTTTGAAATGGTGAGTATCTATCTAATGACAATGCACATTTCTTTACTATTGTGAACATTGCCACTATTACATTTAGTCAAGCAGCTCTACAGATTGTTAAAAAACTGAACTCATTCCTCCATTAAATATTATTTTTTCATGCTTCAGTCAATACAGGTGTTGCTATGTAAGTCTTTCCCACCCCAGTTTAATGGAACATACCTTCTTCTAGCTTAACTGGAGTGCTGGGAGGAGTACGGGCTGAAGTGTGGTCAGGAACACTCTTTTCTTTCGGTTCTCTGGCATCTTCTGAAGGTTCTACAGATGAATCAGGATGGAAATTAAAAAGAGCACACAGGATTCTTCTTTAGGGATGCAGGGAAAAAACAACTTACCACTACACACAATCTTTCACTGTTGCTGAATGAAAATTCTGACCGAATGCCAAATAATTCCAAAACAAGCCAAAGTTAAGGTGTAGACCAACACTATTGTGATTTTACCCGCTATAGATATTATGTTATCCAACTATTTCTACTCCAAAAATTTTTCAGTAAAATGGACTGAAATGATTATATAACAGTTTCCACACTATTTTGGGGCCCAGCATTGGGACATACTGTTCTAGAGGGAGGAGGCTGCTGGCTAAGAGCCAAAGAAGAAATAACTATATGAAGGGCACCAAATCTAAAATTATAGAATAGTAAATTTTTTGCTTGCTTTGAGTTTATTGGCAGAAACTTGGATTAAACAAAATGTCTATTACTGAAAGCAACGAATGGAAAGGTGCACAGATAATCACAAGTGTAACATGCAATAAACTGCAATTATTGCAAATGGATTCTTAAGTGGTTTGAGATCTCCCCCCCCCAAATTAAAAATGATCCATCCATCCCACTCCCTTTCAGCTTCAATAATAGGTGCCTACTAAAGAAGTAATTGTTAATGTAAAACATAAAAAGCTGCCTTTAGAAAGTCTGGTACTGAGGAAATCTCTATGTTCTACACAGTTCATCCAGCCAAGAAAAAAATCCACCAATTAAATTAAATCAGCCCCACAAGTAATAAGCCAAGCTAAACATGTCCAGAGATAGCAGAGACTCCATAAGTGCAGATTAAGCAAGATGGCTTCCCCTTGATTGAAAACTCAGTGGTACCATATTCAGTAGTACCTGACTCCTCAGCCAAAAGGTCAGGATTGGAGCTTAATGCCTTGATGACTGCTGTGTGAAACTCCTTGTGTGGAGACTTCTGCTCATCTGACTCCTCCTGATTAAGATTAGTAATCATTTGCTGCATGGTCTGAGAAGAAACCCATGCAGCAGAGAACTGAGAATTATCTAACGATTTAGAGAGTGTTGATTCTTCATGAGTCTGCAAAATCTTCAGATCTGTATCTTTCACTGTTCCTTGAAAGGTTTTTGATCTGCCTTGCAACGCCAATGGTTTTTTTCTGGAAGCATTTTGCTCCCTGTAGCTCTGACTTTTATGTGAAACATTTGGCTTCCCAGCTGGTGTCTCTCTCAATACCTCAGTCTCTCCATATTTTGATAGTTTATCTATGTAGGATTTAGCAATGTTACAGAGAAAATAAAGGGGTATGCAATTACAGAGACAACATCATAACAGTTCAGTCCCACAAACAGCTTTAATACCTATACAGACAAAGTTATCTATGAAAAAGGCAGAATTTGAGACTCTATACATCAAGCTAGTGTAAAGTTACAAGAAGAACACACTCTAATAATAGTCCCTAACCAGGGACAAGTCACCATACAACTTTTAAAGGAAATGTAAATAGTATATTGCCCCATAAGCTATTTGTATTACAATAGTGCCTAGAGGCCCTAATTTAGATTGGGGTCCCAATATACTAAATATTGTGAAAAAACGTGCCCTAAAAATTTATAATTTAAATGGACAAGACAGTCAAAGGCTTAGCGGGCAATTAGAGGCACAGAAAAGGACATGACTTGCCCAAGGCCAGGAACAGAGCCACACTTCCTTAATCATGGTCCAGAGCCCTACCCATGGACCAGTCTCTTGTAAACAGGTGAAAATGGGCCACCAATATTCCAGCATAAACAATACTATCATAGAGGCTCCACTTTAACACTATATGAGAATCACATCAAAGAAATGCCATGGTGAATTCTCTTTTACTGCAGCATGATGCTCAATACATTTTCTGATAGGTTAGTGATTCCTCGGGATAGTTCGGAAGTGTGCCCTAATCAGGTCTCTATCTATTGACTCCTTTTCAAAAGCACCAACTGGTACAGCTGCATTTTCCCCAATTCAAAATACTTACCAGATCTCCAATTTACAACAAATAAGAAAATTTTACTCCTGCTGTCTAAAAGCAATGTCAGATCTTTACTCACTAGGTTATCATACACAGTAGGAAAATGACACAGTAATGAACTATATTACACCAAGTTCAATAAAAGGCCTGGCTGAATGAAGTATCAAGCTTCTGTATTAAATGTTAAGTAACAATAATAACTGGCCAAATTCCTTGGACAGTAATTAAGCAATTCACTTTTGATTCCAGTGAAGTTTTGTTTGATTAAGAACTGAGATTTTGGCCAAATATTGCTGAGCATTTCAATGGCAGTTTATCATCTCCAAATTGCTTTGCAAATAGTATTCTCCACTTAGAGTTGCAAAAATTGAACAAGGAGGTTAAGTAACTGACCTGTGGTCACAGAAGAATTACTGTCACAGCTAAGATTAAGACTGCAGAAGACCTTGGTTCCCAATCCTATGCTCACATCAGCTGTGCCATGGACCTAATGTATCTGAGATATAACCAAACCAACCTTCAGAACCTTTCTGCTTCCTTTCCACTTCTTTGCGATACTCGTCCAGTTCTCGATCAGTGAGTTTATTGAAGGGGTTTGGTCCTGCTGTGCTCACTATAACTCGTGGCTGATATTCCTTCTCAATGATTGCTTTCGATGCAGTCACCAGTTCTCCCTGGCAAAAGAGAATACAATTAAGATGAGTGTGCCGCTGAACAGCAATTCATTTAATTCTGACAATGGCTCAGGCTACAAGCAGCCAAAAACACAAATGTAATTAAAAATTAAGCTGAAAAAATGCTGCTTTCATTTTCTTAGGTTAAATAAGCAACAATTCCAATTTAGAAATCTTAAAAAACTTGGGATGTTTTATATTAAAGAAAAAATAGCCCTTATGAGTAAATGGCTAGACAGACATTACTGTTTTCACCAGGGCATGTCCACTATTAAGCACCACATCAAATAGCAACCAAACGGGCTTTGTCAGAATAATATATTTGCTGTCAAGAAAGTAGCAAGTTTCCTTATTTCCACAGGGAAAATTTACCAGTTCTGTTTCGGATACAGTCTTTCACAGAAACTGGATCCAAATGATATGTAATTAAGTATTATATTTAGCACTGCTGATACTCTGTGTCCAAAGAACAAGAACAGAACATGCTGATGTACAAGAGCCCTCCGCCCATATTAATGGCAGGTTTTCTTATCAACTGGGAATCAAAGCTAATCAGTATATATTTTGAGAGTCTGTTCAAGAACTCCTCCTAAAATAATAAGAGCTAGGACCACCAAATTCAGGAAACAGGTTCCTCTTATAACTTAAAGCAAGGCTAAGGATTGGTTGTTCCAGGAAAATGGGATATTGCTGGGAATGAGATCTCATCTCACAACCATACAGAAAAGAGAGAATTCTCTTTTGGGACTGCCTCAGCCCTGAGCCTTCCATCCCGCAGGCACCCTTCAGGGAAAGCGGGGAGGGCCCTGAGGCTGTCCTCCCCCAACTCCTGGGAGAACATTGCTAATTGTTCTCTTTGTTAAGGAGCAAGGAGAAGTGCACAGTTTGCTGCATTCCTCTCTGACTAGGGAGTGCAGGGACAGGAAGGGGAACAGTAAGCAGGTGTGGTACAAAGCTGGGGGGCCCGGGGGAAGTGTTCTTTGCCCTTCCCCACCCTTCACCCCTATACAGAGTCTCCTGACCAGAGCCCTCCTCACCCTCCAACCCTGATTCCTGCAACCCGTCTAGCCCTCAGCCCCCTGCTTTGAGCCCCTCCTTAAGGATAGGAGCTATGCTGGGTAAATGTGCTAAAGGTTTCATATTGCCTCAAAGGTGGAAGACACTTCCCTGGGTTGTGATTTCTGTGTCAGACCTTCCAGGTCATTTGTCTGTTTAAGTGACATTTGTCTACAGCATTATTTAAAAAGTTACTCTGATGCCTAATCTGAACTCATCAGCACAGATGTCTAAAAATTACTCTCTAATCCTCAAGATTATTTTTAAAAAAGATGGCACAGATGAGACAAGAAATACTGTTCTAGGCAGAAACAGCTGCAAGAACATTTCAGCCAGAATCTCAGTAAAGGATGAGCCACCAGAAATAGAGAAGCACGGTTATACAGGTGTGCAGGCCCACCAACTAAGGGGGAGGAGGGGAGAGACAGCTGCCCTGGGCCCAACGACTCTAAGAGATCCTGGCAGCCACCCTTTAAACTGCTGCCACATTGTCGCACTCCAGGTGGCTTTAAGGGCAGAGGGTAGGAGAGCAGCATACTCCAGGGGGTGCTGAAGGCTGGCTGCCCTGCCCCTACCCCTTCTGGGAGTGCGGAGCCAGTCATGCCTTCAACCACACCTGCCAGCTCCCTTGCAAGTGTGAAAGCATGTCAGAAAAGATCTAGATATCAAAAGAGGAAGCATACAGTAGCTAAATGTCCATCTTCACCCAGTTCAAGCAGTCTACATCAGCAGCAAGATGGTGCCCAGATTACATGCTGCTGTCCTGAACACAATCTAAACTGAAATTCTTTTACAAGGTTATCCCATTTGATTTAATTTAAGTTTGAAACAGAAATATAGGTTCATCACCAAAGAGTAGCAAAAGAAAGATAATCTCGCACATATGGTGAAAAGCCCTGGAAACTGTTTGAATGAGCCCTTTCTCTTGTGCTAGTTTAGATACCTTAGATTTTAATCATAATGAATCTGATTTTCAGATTTACGAAGGCACACTTCAGGAACTCAATACAAACAAACAAACCTAATGTTTAGAGAGGAATTCATATCAAGTGTCCTCTTTTCTGGTTATCCAGTGACCACAACACTCAGTAGAACTGGATTTTCCTATCTCAATTTAGTAGTTAAACTGCATGCTGGCCCAATTTAATGTCTTATATTTTGGGTGCCCACACTCCTGAAAAGCCTAGACAAACACACATAGCTTCACTCCTGCCCAAATGAAACACTTATTATGAAGAAAAATAGCCACTGAAATACTTCAAACTGTCTTCGCAGGTTGTCATTGCTAAATTGGGATTACATTTATTTTCTAGTATAGTATGCAGAAAAGTTTCTTCACATTTTTGACAATCTGAGTACTTGTCTTTTAAAAGTTTAAAAGAATAGGAACTTTTAAAGCTTTCTAATGATGTGTCTTTCTTTGCAACATAACACTAGAGATATTTGCATGAAAACAGGATATTAGTTTTTTAAAAACTAACAGGCTCTGGCTGCTTGGTCCCTCACCTGAATCCATAAACTTCTATTTACAAACATCACAACTGATTTATTTGGAAGTGACTGAAGAGTATAACCTTTGGTGGGGAACAAACAGCAGGAGATGAACTTTCAAAGAAACTAAGAAACTGTCTTGTTGCAGCCAATAAAATAAGAACCACCCTTTTCCCAGCTGCAGAATAAATACATGCTGAAGTTTCTCATACGACATCAGCCAGCCTGAAACTGTATGGAGCTTGACATCTTTTGCACCAGTGAGGTGTATAAATGCTACAACAGAACACCTCAAAAACTGCATTTCATACAAGTCAAAAAATAATTTTTAAACAGATTTGTGAGCTCCCAAGACTTATAACTTCACTAAAAATGATAGGGGGGGGATAATCAATATCCGCAATTACTTTGGATTTTTTTTAAACAAAAAGATTACAAACTAAACATGGATTGAATAATGGACCATTAGCAATATGCTGCACAGGCTTGCAAAGCAGGGAATCATGCCAGGCAAAGCTTGTGGGTGTTATAGGATTATAAAATTATCAAAGTGAATACAATAGATGTAATGTGGGCTGATTTCACTTAAGAGTTAGTTTATGCATCTCTGAACCTTTCTTGTAATTTACACTGATTTGATATGAACGCTATCACACAAATTGAAAGTTGACTAAAGTACTATAAAAGAAATGGTAGCAAAAAACAGCAAGGCATTCAGTTTGGAGCCGGGTGACTAATGTATCCGTATTATTTGTCTTATTTAGGAGAACATCTTTATTCATTACTGGGAAAAGAAGCTAAAACAAGCACATCAAGTTCATGACACAACATCTAGCAAGTAAAATAGTGAGGCGATGGAAATAACACATGGACTTGGAAATATGGGCAGGAAATGGAGAGAAATTTGTCATCTTAAAAAATGCAAGTTAATATTTCTGTGGGAAAATAATCTGACAGATATACAGACTAAAGGGAAACACCTTGATTTCAACAGAGCTATAACATTTTATACCAGCAGAAGATCTGCCCCTGGAGAGAAGTAATACTGAAAAAGACAGCACACTTTTTTTTTTTTTTTTTAAATAAAGGCATTATGTCACAGAATAGAACGGTGAAATTACACCTGGAATACTTCAACCAGCCTGAACAATACCAGAGAGATGTAATGTAGATAAATCTTTGTATTAGTCATTTTATAGTGTCTCAAGTCTTTCTAACTTTGTATTAAATCTTTTATTAAGTTTTTAAATAATTGTATAGTCTTTAGGAATAATCAAGTTAAAGAAAATGTCTTTGTACTAGAAGTAGAATAGATCTTACCCTTTTGACTTGAAAGTGGTTCTGTTCTTGATGAACAAGATGTGGATGAATGAGGCGTGGAAGGTAAACACCTCCGAGAATTAACAGTTGCAACAGTTGGAAAGGGAAAGAATAGGAGTCAAACCCAAGGCACCCAAGACACTGTCAAGTGGGCTTATTCTGAAAAGACCAGACATATGGATGGCCATGGGAATCAGAAGCAAGCACCCTCTTTTGAAGCAGAGTTAAAAGTAAACACCCTCTTCGAAATTGGAAGCACTGGGGATAACTCCAGAAGATGATGCCACAGATCTAAGTGACACAGCTAAAGTGCATAGACTTGCATGAGAGGGAAGCGCCTATAAATGTGGGGTGTCTTGCTAGGACCCTGGGTCTCATCTTGTCAACATCGGAGCAGCATTCTGGAGCGACATAAGCCCAGGTCCTTCCCATCCCTCATGTAACTCACCTGACCAGGGAGTTAAGAGGAGCAAGTTGGTAACTAAGCAACAAGACAACAGAGTGTGTGTGCGTGCGCACGTGGAGTATGGTATCTTATATGTATATAATACAATATTGTTATATTACCAATAAATGTGGTATTTTGCCGTATCCCCGAAAGAATTGCACGGGATCTTTTTAAGTACAACAGTAAAACTGCAGCCAATTCAGAGGGGGCAATGAAAATAATTAGGGGGTTGAAAGGAGTGACAAAAGTAAAAAAGTTGGGTAAATAATTTAGGGGACAGAGAATGTGAATCATATAAAGGATATAATATCAGAGACAAGACAGGAATGGCTTACCATAGCAGAAAGGGATACATATAACAAGCAATGATGGGTTAAAGTGAAGGAAAGAACATTTTATTAGGTTAATCAAAATATATTCCATTGAATTAGGTCACAGAATACTCTCCCACTGGAAACCTCATGGTTCAAGACATTAATATTATGGACATCTCTAAAAACAAACAAAGTGGACTAGTGGTGAGGAGAGCATCAAGATAGGTGAAGTACTTGATGAAATTTGACATCTTTAAACTTCCATGATTTGATGTGGACTCTGTGGACTCTAAGAAATGTTTACTTATGGAGGCAGATATAGACTGGGTGCATTGCAGAGGCTGGATGGAGATTTGTATGCAATATCACTC